TATGGGCATTGCTCTATGGTAGCTGTTATTTGCACATTGTTAATCATGAGCAATGCATCCTTACATTGTTTAACTGTGAGGTGTTATACAATTGTACTCTGGAGAGCTTTTAAAGGTAAAAAAATAAACGGCATGATGGGATGTGCAGTACCAAATATGTAAAGCACTTTTTTTTTAATGTATGATTTGCTGCATATCAGGAATAAAACAAAAATCCTCTGTCGTACCATATTGAAGTATCATTATTTTTGTATCGTGTTGAATCGCATCGTATCGCCCCGAATCGCATAATGTTGAATCAAATCGTATCGAACTGTATCGCAACAGGGGTGAATCGTATCGTATCGCATCGCCTGGTGTTTCAAAGGTATCGCTAATGTATCGTATCGTGGCAACGTATCGAGATGCGCATCGCATCGGCCTCAGTGATGGAGATGCACATCCCTACTGCAGACTGTTCAAACAAACGCTTCAACTCGTTCCATCTAGAATCTGTATGTTTGAATATGGATCTTAAGTTGGCGTGACGTTGAAGTCGTGCTGCTGGACTCGGCTGAAGTTCCTTTAGCATAACGTTAGCTTTTTGCTTCTGGTGGTTAGATTTATGATTAGAACATTATAAAATTAGGGTAGACGAGTGGAGATTATCCGGCTGAACAAAACGTGCATTTATCAAACAGGTTAGTTTTCTTATTTCTTACAATATTCCAAAATCCTACGGAGAAATCCAGTTGCTTTTTTGTCGGGGGAACCAGCCGCTTACTTCCGGGTCGGGCTACAAAAATAAGTCATCCCTGCTCCGCTCGATTATGCTGACATGTTACAAACATGCTGTCATAGTTTTGTGTGTCATGTTTGTCTTGGTGATCGGTCTTGTGTGTCTTTAGGCGAGTCTTCCCTCGTGTTGTCTTTCAGTTCCTCGTCTTTGTTTACTTTTGGTTTCATGTCTGCATATTTCTGGATTCCCCTCCTCTTCACTCGCTGTGTCCTCAAAGGGTTCCTGGCTTGTTAGTCCTTTTAATTTTGACTTTGTCCGCTCCTCCAGTTTTATTTAGTGTTTATTTCTACCAGCTTTAATTTAATAAAGCTTGCCTTGTTGTCGGCTCTTTAATTCTGCATTTCGCTCCTGATTCCCTTCCCTGTGAAAGTACAACTTGAGCCAGAACACAAGGGAAGACGGGCCTAAAAACACACAAGACAAGAGGATGAAACCCAGCAGGTGATGAAGTGAAGCATTACGTACGCTCCAGGTAGGTGCTGTAGATGTTGATGAGAGTCATGTGGTCTCCCTCTGCGTGCATCAGGGGTTTCCACTGAGACACCGCCTCCTCTCTGCTGGGCTCCACTGTCACAAAGCAGGACGGAGCTGCAAGAAGACACATCATTCACACAGTTAAAGGCCTGTTAACCCTCAGATGCTCAAGTGGGTCTCTTTTGACCCGCTGAGGTGGTTTTCTTGAAGTATCTTTGTAATTACATTTTTGTATCATTAAAAATGTAATAAAGACGGCCTTTTTCAGTAACGTACCCCCTTTGAAACACTTTCTCAGCCAAGTACCCCCTGACCGACCACGGACATTTTTGACAGAAAAAGCCTTTATAAATAATTCCAATATAGTGATGTTCCCGCAGTGTGTGATGTATTAACTCCTTCATGCATGCATTACCACAAACTAAGGATATTTTCATTTTTATGCATGTAAAAAAAGATTTTTCCAAGGGGTTTTTCAATTGAATTAATATATGTTTAACAAACCAATGAACAACATGATATATTAATGAAAACTATAAATACAATACACAAAATGTAACATGTTTATATGAGGACCCCCTTGGTGGTTCTAGGAATATTTTATATAAAATTGTGTTTTCTATTTAACTTATTGTAATAAGATTATTTTTGTAATCATGCATGGTATTTTTTTTATTAACCTTTTTATTTATTTTTACCTCACGTACCCCCTGCAGTACCCCAACGTACCCCTAGGGGTCTGCGTACCCCCATTTGAGAATCACTGCCTTAGAGCAGTGCTTCTCAAACTTTTTTCAGTAATGTACCCCCTTTGAAACATTTTCTCAGCCAAGTACCCCCTGACCGACCCCGAACATTTTTGATCGAAAAAGCCTATACAAATAATTCCAATATAGTGATGTTCCCTCAGTGTGTGATGTATTAACTCCTTCATGCATGCATTACAACAAACTAAGGATATTTTCATTTTATGTATGAACAAAAATAACATAACAAAACAAATTTAAACAGATTTTTCCAAGGAGTTTTTCAACTGAAGTATTATCTGTTTAACAAACCAATGAACAAAATGATATATTATGCAAAACTATAAAATACAATACACACATTTGACATGTTTATATGAGGACCCCCTTGGTGGTTCTAGGAATATTTTATATAAAATTGTGTTTTCTATTTAACTTATTGTACTAAGATTATTTTTGTAATCATGCATGGCATTTTTTTAATTAACTTTTTTTCGTTTGTTTTTTTTAAATCTCACGTACCCCCTGCAGTACCCCAACGTACCCCTAGGGTCCATATATCCCCATTAAAGAATCACTGCCTTAGAGAATAAGAAAAATAAATAACAAATAATCGTAAATGAACAAAAATAATAATGATGGAAAGAGAATACAAAGGTTTTAACACATTCTTACTGTATTAGTAGATGCATTACAGGGGCCCATCGCTTAAAGTGAATGGATTTGTATTATTGTGCTGTGATGCAAGTCAAATTTCAGACTCGATCTGACCAATAAAGTATTATCGTATCATGTTATCAACCAGTTGCCTCGCTGCAGTTACCTGTGAGCATGGCAGCGATAGTGAGCAGCTCGTCCACACAGTCGTACTCGCAGGCAGCGATCAGAGCTTTGGCCAGAGGCGGCTCCAAGGGAAGCTCCGACATTATGATGCCAACTTCAGACAGATTACCATCATCATCCAGCGCCGCCAGGTAGTCCAGATCCTCCAGAGCCTGCATCAGAGCCTCAGGGGCTGGGAGAGAGGGACACATGGAGGACAAATCAATATACAGGAGAGAGGGAAGGAGGATGAAGGCAATATGGACTTATAATTCAACACATATATATATCCCTTGCAGCTGAGCTTTTGATTATTCAGTAGGCTCACTATTTGTATAAGGTAAGCGAACATTACCAAGTGCTGGATGCAACGTTAACATTATTGTAAGCATGAGACAGCCTTCCTGTTACAGAAAGAAATACGTTTGATGTGCAACTTCACATTAACTTGCATTATTGTAGTTATGTTTCATCCAGAGTTACCGGTTTGACCAATAAAATCAGGGGGTCAAACTCAATTTCATCGCGGGCCACATCAGCACTTAAAGGGCCTGTTGTAACTTTAAGACTATATAAATATATATATATATATATATATATGTGTACATATAAAAAATATATATAATTCAACTCCAATAGAGACGCACTTTGCAGTAAGCTCCTGTCGAAGTGCTGGACTTTGATCCTTTGTTGGAGGAGCCTGGCACTTCAGTTTTTCATTGCCATATCTACACTGTAGCTAATGTACAAATGATAACAAAGCCTTGAATCTTGAAACTTTGACATCCTGCAGAGTCGTGTAAACTCTAAACCAGGGGTCGGGCAACCCCTGGCACGCGTGCCAGCATTGGCACACGGCACCGTAACCAGTGGCACACTAGGAATAAGTGGAATAAGTGTGCAAAAATATTTAAATTGTATTTTCGGATCCTGAACGAGACCTCCGCTAGAGCGCGTCTCCCCGTTACCTGCAGAAGGAAGCCATGCACGCAACGCAGCCCCGCTCTCTTTAACTCCAGGTGACTTTCTGCCGCTTTCCTCTGTCGTGCAGTGCTGATCGTTTCACCACGGAGGAAAGCACTTCACTAATTGCAGTACCCATAAGGAGCTGTACAAATGCCGCAGTTTTTGCGTGGCTGTGTCTTTAGTTGAAAGCCCAGTGGCGATCTGCTCATCTCTCATCGAAATAATATGCTACAAAGGGGCGGACTGGCCAACTGTGTGTTGAACTTTCCTGTCGGCTCCCAGACCGTAGTCGAGGAGGGCAGAAGCAACAAGCTTCAGGTTCAATAACCAACTTTAGCTTAAATGACTGGAGAGAGGCGAGCTCTTCTTGGGAGGCCGTTGCATTTATTTAGCTGTTCTTCTGTTTCACAAAATACATCACAGACCTCTGTTTTTCTGCTGCCTC